ACCGTTGTCGACTGGTTTTCGAAGGCTACTCATTTTATTCCTCTGCCCAAATTACCCTCAGCTAGAGAGACAGTGGATGCTGTCAATAATCATGTCTTTCGCATTCATGGCCTCCCGATGGATGTGGTTTCTGACAGGGGGCCACAATTTGTTTCTAAATGCCGGAGAGAATTCTGTCGTTTATTGGGGGCGACTGTAAGTCTTTCTTCTGGATTCCATCCTTAGATTAACAGACAAACTGAAAGGGCCAACCAAAACCTCGAACGTATGTTGCGATGTTTGGTTTCTCAGAATCCCACCTCTTGGACTCAGCAGCTTCCATGGGTGGACTACACACACAAGTCATTACCAGTGTCCGCTACGGGCCTGTCTCCGTTTGAGTAGTTTAGGTATTCAGCCACCTGCTTTTCCCAGTCTGGAAACCAAAATCGCGGTCCCCTCCACCCACGCCTTTGTCCAGAGGTGCCAACACGCTTGGAACAAGGCCAGACAGACCCTCCTCAAAGTGGGTGTGCGCATCAAGGGTAAAGCTAATCGCCACCAGTCTAAGCCTCCCGTTTATGTCATCGGTCAGAAAGTGTAGCTTTCTAGAATATTCCCTTGCGTTCCATATGTAATAAACTCGCACCCAAATTTTATTGGCCAGTTCACTGTCACCAAGATAATTAGTCTGGTGGCAGCCAGCCTCAAACTTCCTCCAGCACACAGGAAAATACATCCTATGTTTCATGTTTCCAAATTAAAGCCAGTTTTTTATGCGGCCATTATTCCACCTACTCTGGTGCTCCCAGAAGGTGCTCATAGGAGAGGAGGTGCTGTCACAGTTGTAGGTCTGTGCGTACTTCCGAGTGTCTGTTTGGTCACATGGTTTTGTTTTGGTGTTCCACGTGTGTCTGTTACGTCAGTGTTTTGTCACATGCAATGTGGAATCCTGCTATCCTGATTAGCCAGCTGCGACTCATTATCTCGGCTATATCTGGACAGCACGTCTCTTGTCTCGTGTCAGTTCGTTGTTAATTTTGATGTGCTCTCTGTCTGTGTTCAGGGCTGGCGGAGAGAACCCTCTGACACCCAGAGCTACTCTGTTCCTGTCTGTTTCCCCAATCCCTGTTTGTGCAGGATATCTTATCTTTTTTTGTTTATTTTCTGTTTTTGGACTTGTTCACGTGCTATATTGACTGTCAATAAAGTATTTTTAAATGCAAAATTGGATCCTTCTAGTACATTTTTCATGTAACAGAGACAGGTTGGAGGGATCTACCTACTGTAAATTATGCTTTGCCCAAAGTATAGAAAGTGATGAAGTGAGAACTAAGAAAGTATTTGATGTTCTTATGTAAAATTATAAAAGACAAAGGAGAATTTAAGACCTGATGCATTAACAGGCAAACCTGTAAATAAGATGGGCAACTCTTTCAGTAGGCGGATTGAAGTTCCATCTTGAATCTTCTGGGGCAGCCAGCACAGAGCTGTTTGTGCTATTGCTGGTAGAAAAAAACAATTTGAGCTTACAGAAGAGTTAATCATTGGATATAATGCAATTGGGCTAGATCTTTTGCAACAGGGCAACCATCTTAAGCAGTAGTGAAAATGCTAACAACAGCCTTCATAGTAGACAGCATGATAAAAGAGGGTCTCATGAGATTATCCCAACAGTGAGGGAACCATGAATGGGAACAGACAAAAAAATAAGGTGGATAAATATACCACCATGTCATTATATATATACCGCCATCATTGTGTTGCTGAGCTTGCTGATTTTATTTTCAAAATTAGGTATCATCCAGGGAGAGCAACTATGATACAGCTGAATTGTCATGTATGCTATACCCTTTTCACATTTCCAGGTTTCTCTGTAGTGGAAGTCATCATAGTTAGGAAAAGAGCGCAGTGAATGGGAGAGTACATAAAAAATGTTTTTACAATCTTATTTGCTGAAATAATAAATAAAAAACTCTTCGATGGTTTTATCAAGGCTTTCAGAGAAAAAAAAATATATTGTGTGAGACTGATGAAGGCAGCCAGAGGAGAGAAAAACGTCAAATTTATTGTTCTCTCCCATAGACGCTGCATTAGAAACACCTCACACAATTGTTAATTTTTTTTTTTGTAATTTGAAGCAAAGATTATATAATACATACATAAATGCATATAAGTGTTTATAATATTTTAAACAAATCTAAATATTAAAAACTTAAAAGATTTAAGATGCGAATGACCATGAAATGCATCATAACAGGCTTGTGAAAAGGGTCCATTAGAGATAGAACTATACGCAACTATATGCAAAAGTGTACAGGAGATGTGAGATTCCATGTCATCAACTGTCAGGGATACTCAGTAACACCATCCAGTGGTTAGTACTATTCTAAACTGTATAGGAACCCAACAACGGCTAAGGCACAAATATATTAGGGGTCATAATAGCTGAAAATGGTGAGGGGTGTGGATGCAGACCTGGTGCAGTGCAATCTGAGCTGCATCCAATGCTTTTTAATGGGCTCACCTAACCCTACCCCTAACCCTACCCATCACAGTGATGTCACTCGCTTCATTGAGTGCATTGTGTCTGAGATTGCATAGCTGAGTGATGCAAATTCGGCTTGCATCATAAAGGCTGCATCCAGATACTACTGGAAAAATGTGGGAAAAATACATTTTATATTTATATTTATACTCCTTAGACCTGGTACAAAGTGAAACAAGAAGATGTGTAGGGTGATGACACAAGTAGCAGATCGGTTATCTAATAGTTTATGTTGAGCTGATGGTACTGAAAACCTACTTAAGGATGTCTTTATCAAGGAAAAAGTAAGGTAATGTGACTGCTGACCTTAGTCAATATTAGTTTCCACTACAATTAACTGTTGTAACAATGACTCACAAATGTTTTTATTGATAAAACAATGTCAAGGTGACATCTATTCAGGTGAGTATAAATAAAAAAGTGAGAGATAAATGGGCCCACCCTCTAATTATTTAATGTTGGATCTTAATTTTTATCATAATCCATTTAATCTTAAAATTCTTTTAGGATTTGGAAAGTTGTGTTGATTAAAATCTATTGCCTTTTTGTTTTATATTCTCTATATTAGGAAATGTTTGTAAGCTTAGTTCCCAATCTTTCCATGGCTTTTACTTTGACTTTGGGAAGATGAGAATATGGGGAAATATTACAAGATGGCATATGAGTTAGTAGGTGACGCAGTGGCGCAGTAGGTAGTGTCGCCTCACAGCAAGAAGGTCGGTGGGTCGCAGGTTCGAGCCTCGGCTGGGTCAGTTGGCGTTTCTGTGTGGAATTTGCATGTTCTCCCTGCGTTCGCGTGGGTTTCCTCTGGGTGCTCCGGTACATGCGAATTGGGTAGGCTATGTGGGACAGGTGATTTGGGTAGGCTAAATTGTCTGTAGTGTATGAGTGTGTGTGAATGTTTCCCAGGAAGGGCATCCGCTGTGTAAAAAAGTGCTGGATAAGTTGGCGGTTCATTTCACTGTGGCAACCCCAGATTAATAAAAGGACTAAGCCAACAAGAAAACGAATAAATGAATATTATGTGTTATGAGGGTTTCTAGAGAGATTGACTCTTCTGTGGAGCCCATTCTAATTTGAAAATAAATGCACCCTGTTCGCTACAATACATATATGAACTTGGTTGTAAAAAATGCATAGTTAAGTATTTTATAGGCCTACTACCCACTCCTGAATTTGGGATTAAATGATTGTTGCATTCAGGTGCTTTGTTGTCAGAAAAAATGAAATGAAGCATCTTTGGTTTACTTATTTGAAATAGAATGTAAAAAAAAAAGACTAATAAAATAATAATATTGTTACTTAGATGTTTTTCTGATCGTATTGTTTTTATATATTGTGGGGTCTTCTGAAACATAAGGATTGACATTAGTTGTCAGCAAGTGTGGCGAGTGGGGTCTGGCTGCAGACTCAGTGCAGTGCAATCTGAGCTGCATCCAATTCTTTTTAATCCGCTGATCTAACCTCTCCTTTAACCCTACCCATCACAGTGACGTCACTCACTCCCTTGAGTGCATTGTGTCTGACATTGCATCGCTGAGTGATGCAATCTCAGCTTGCATCATAAAGGCTGCATCCAGATACTATTGAGTGTGGCTTTCTGTCGGCCATCTTGGATTCAGAGGAAATTAATTTGCAGTTACAGTGACTGACCACTGAATAATAATCAATGGAGTGGGGCAGTAGAGAGCACTCAACAGGCTGATTTGAAGTGCTGCCAAAGAAACATTGCATTAATGAGAAAATGGCTTTTAATTAGCGGTCCACTGCAGAAAAAAGCACATGGTAAATGCAAAGATAAAGCCATGTGCTGAAACAGAACAAACAAACATGGAAATAAAGTGATTCCTGACAGGAAATCCATGGTGCCATTTATTTGTTTAATTTTTATTTGGTGTCTTAATTCATTTTACACTAGTATTCTGTTTAATTTAATGTTTGGATATGTTATTTTTCTAACTTACTGCACCACTGGAGTTGGTTAAATGATGAAACAAGAAGGATAAACATAAGATGTGAAAGATTTCCCCTGCACACAGATGGATATATCTGAAAGTAAATGTACCTGACAACAGGTTCAGCTTTGGAATTTGAACATCTGCTTTTTTACTTATTGTATCACTATTTTATTGTTTCATTTGTTATTTTATAATTTATCATCTATTGCTTTATAGGTAGAGGTCCAAAAAAGTTTTGTTAAAAGTTCCCCTAATTATTGATACATTTCAGAATTGTTTGTGTAGAATATGTCACATGCACTTTTTGCACTAAAGACCAAAACATTTGCAGTTGCTTCACTTTCATGTGTTTAACTATATGTAGGCCACGTGCATTTACAACTTAAGCAAATCATGTAGTGTTCTGTCCTCCAAGGAAAAAATCTTTCAAATGGTTTCCATTAGGGTCATTTTCCTTTGTTGTAAATTACGTTCATGTGGCGATAGGTGGCAGTATGGAACAACTAAAAGATTTTGTGACGATGAATGTGTGAGACATTCACTAACAATCAGGAACCGATGTGAGTGGATGTAAATAATGTGTTCAGTTATTATTCGTACTGCGACGAAGTTTTCTGCTGCTTTTATCCCTACACAGTCCTCTCGAAAAAGCAAGTCTTTAATTTCTGCAGCTTCCGTTCATATGAGAAAAATGGTGCATTACTTAACAGAGCAGAGAGGACGTCCAAACTCGACTGACTACAGGATTTACTTAAGTAAGATTGCCCTTCACGTGCTTGACTGACATCTACAAACACGAACATACTTTTAGGTCCTCCACATTTTCTGATCTGAAATGGTTATTGCTAAAAAAAAAACATGTTACCTCGCTTCTTAGGGCTAACGGCGGGAGATTCCTGGAAGTGAAAGAGCAAAGGAGTAGAATTATTGTTTTTATACGTTATTAAAGAAGTCTTATACAGAAATATCTAAAAACAAGTACTTCTTTATTGATACATTCGGATCCATTTAAATGTATACATTGTTAAATTAGTAATATTACAATATTTGTTTTGCAGAAACTTCAGATGGGAAATACATATCCCCCTTCCATGACATCCCTCTGTATGTTGCTGATGAACAGGTTAGCATAATGTAAATATGTGCAGCCTACTTCATATCAGTTCCAGTAGTAAATAAATTAATAATTCATTTAGAAACTTTTTTTGTAATCTAGATAACTGGCAGTTTTTACTCTTATTTTTCAATGACATTGTATGTCTCATTTCAGGACTGTGTTGTTCCACCAAAGAAAATGAAAATGAATGGGGTACGTTATTGTAACCATTCACCATTCATCAGGACATTATTGTAAAGCATATGGCAATGTTATTTTTGTCTTTAACAGATAATTTTTAATATGGTCGTGGAAGTACCTCGTTGGTCAAATGCTAAGATGGAGGTAAGTAGATTTTTTTTATCATTGATTCTTGAGACATGGTAAAAATCACGCCCACCAATTATAAATACTCTTGGGTTTAAAATATTATCAATTGGTAATGTTATGAGGGATTGATTACAGAATCCATTTAACAAAACTATCCACTTCAACTTGATTGTCGTTATATTAGATAATTTGTCACACTTCTCACTACATCTAAAACATCTAAGAGAAGGGTCCAGTCATTCGCATGCAATTTAATGTTTAAAAATATGACATTATTATTTAAAAGTAGCTTGTTTGATCAAAAGCTACACTTGATAATTACTCTTATCAAAGCAAGGTTGATTTTCAATAACACATTATGCAAGTTAGATTTTAAATTTGTGTCACCATTTTATGTCTGTATCATCAGTTTTCATTGTAACAAATTAGCCCATATCAGCAGCACTTTTACAAAAGGACGTGTGTCATCACCACAGTGTGTGATGTAATTATTCCAAATTTTTTGATAATTTTCCTTCCCTGTACAGGGGTTTTTTTCTTCATACGTGGATTACTCCGTTAGCTGGATTTGGTTATTGATGATTTGACAGAATCCAGGATTGTTTCGTTTTTCAATACTCATCTGACAGTTGTTGTCATAGCAATCGGTCTGGTAGCTCAAACCTGCTAGGGAGCAGGCTTATTTTGTATAAACAGGATTAGATCGGGTCATTTTAAGCAAAGGTGATTCTAAAAGTATGTATTGAATTCTTATATTTTCTTACAGTAGTAACCTATAGGTCAGGGGAGCCACCTTCCTGCAGCTTTCAGTTGCAACCCATATCAAACACACCTGCCTGTAATTATCACGGGGTGTTCAGGTCCTAATTAATTGGTTCAGGTGTGTTTGATATAGGTAGCAACTGAAATCTGCAGGAAGGTGGCTCTCCAGGAACAGGGTTGGCCATCCCTGCTAAAGGTTATATAAACTTGGGTAAATAGTAAAATAGTTTTTAAAAAATGATATATAATTTTATCATTTATAAAAATTAATAATATTTTATATTAAATAATTAATTATATTTATATAAATATATAAATAAAACTTATGCAATCTGCCTTTTGAAATATAGGTACAAAAACAGGGTGCTTTTTTTAAAATGTATAAAGTAATAATAATTTATGCAGTCATGCACATGTTTTGACAGCTAATATGCCGGTGATTTGATGCTTTGCAAAAGTTGTAGAAGCCTTTACTAATATCAAAATGCTTGATACAAAATTAATTTAAATTTCCTTATGCCAATTAAGAAACATAAATACTTTAATACTGTAAAGAAAATCCGCTCTTAAATGTAAAACTAAACAAATTGCTAAATACTCTTTAAGTCATGAAAGTGTAAAGCCTGCAGCTCACAACAAAGGTGGAAAGTTACTGCGTATCATTTTTAACAAACTAAAGCGAATTTGGTATAATTGAATATTAATCAAATGATGTCATTATGCTGCTGTGCCATCAGCCAAACATTGCATTGCAGATCGTGATTTCGAGGATCGATAGATCTGTCCTTCAAAACGCACGCAGCAATCTCATATCAGTTCATCCTGACATTTTTAATCTGATTCGCGAACTTGTTTGAAGAATCATATTAGCCAGAGATCAGTTATCAATATTAAAAGATCCAGGATCTGCTAAATCAGCTTAGATCGTTTAAGCGAGCTACAAAGAATGGACCCCAGGTTGCATTAGCATAGCATCAACAGGAAAGAAAAACTCAATGAACAAAAACAAAAGTAAATCTTGAATATCTAGAATGAGGTTTTTGATCATTGTTTTTCATCATAGTGTCTGATTTTGGCTTGATTTTGCAAATGGGTGGATTTTAACAATGAATCTAATTCTTGAAATTAGATTAAATTAGATTAGTAGAACTATTTAGTTGGAACAATAATGTTATAAAATGTTATATATGTATAGTAATGTGATATATTAATATATATTTTATAGATATATAGCCTAATATCTAAGTTGTGTAAGTTCAGTATTAAGTGCACGTCTATCAATAAAATGTACAGTTTAAAAAAAACTGTTTTGATGAGCAAAACAAAAGTATGTTATATTGTGTTATTCAATTCAATAGTAAGTGATTTAGTGTCACATTTCTGAATGTTGACTAGTTTTTTTTCTCCACAGATAGCTACAAAGGAACCATTAAACCCAATCAGGCAAGATGTAAAGAAAGGCAAGCTACGATATGTAGCTAATGTTTTTCCACACAAAGGATACATTTGGAACTATGGTGCACTTCCACAGGTGATGTTCTGTTTTTGCAAAAAAAAAAAAAAATCTGCTGTTGTGAATATAATTTTTTATGTTCTTCATATGTTTTGCCAATATGTGAAGACATGGGAAGATCCCAAGCACACTGACAAGGAAACCATGTGCTGTGGAGACAATGACCCAATAGATGTGTGCGAGATTGGCTCCAAGGTTGGTAAAATTGCATGGTTTAATGTGTAATGCAGTTTGTGTTTTACAAAATAAAAGTTATTATATATTTACGTTTTAAAGTTGTAAAAATATATTAAATATATAAAATAAGCTTCCATATTTTATGTGTGTGTGTGTGTGTGTGTGTGTGTGTGTGTGTGTGTGTGTGTGTGTGTGTATAATTTTCCCCCCAAACACAGGTAACTTTTTGTTTTAAATCTCTTTAATTTTGACACCTGTTAATCTCTGTCTCAGGTGTGTGTTACGGGGCAGGTGATTCAGGTTAAAGTTCTTGGAATTCTGGGTTTGATAGATGAAGGAGAGACTGACTGGAAAGTAATAGCCATCAATGTAGAGGACCCTGATTCATCAAGCCTTAACAGTGGGTCATTTTTAACGGGTTATATATACTCTAGGTATTGTCTTCATTTATGACTGTAGTCTCAAATGGTGCGTCATTAACAGGTATTGAGGATGTGAGAAAGATTAAGCCTGGACATCTTGAGGCTACAGTGGATTGGTTTAAAAAATATAAAGTACCTGATGGAAAACCTGAAAACCAGTTTGCATTCAATGGACAGTTTAAGGATAAGGTTAGTAGATTGACTATGAAAGTGATGTGTAAATCAGTTTAATGATCAGTCATCTAATGTTCTTGTTGTTATTATCATATTAGGACTTTGCCATAGAAGTCATAAAATCAACACATAGCTACTGGAAAGCGTTGGTGATGCGAAAAAAGATGAAAGATGATGAAATAGTTTGGTAAGTGAGAGATTTTTGATGTCAGATTTATTTAATAACATTAAAATGCAGAGGTCAACCAATATACGTTTTTTGGGGGGGCCGATTTCACTTGATTTGCCTTGCTTGATGGGGCTATATAGCTGCTCTTCAGTAGATTGTCCTTTAACTGACATTTGTCTAGTAACAACTGAACTGAACAGTTTAAATTGAACTAAAACTACATCAACATTCTGCAACAATTATGTCCCTGCTGTGATCTGAAAAAAGTTTATGGTATTTTGACTTTACTCAATGCTAAAAGAGTAAAGTTAGAAATCAGGGCAACCAATGACTGATGCATGATACCAGTCTTTTGGGGGCTAATATATTTGGCCGATGTTTACTTTTATCAAATTTAACTATTTAATTACTACTAAAATGTCAAAGTTCAAAATACCTATTTCACTAACAAATAGACTTGAAATTAAGAAATAGTATATTGGATATTAGGATATTGGAAAAAACTGATATTGATCAATTTTATTTTTCTACTAAGACATATATTACAATATTGAATACAACTTCACCAGATGATATTAATAGGTGTATTTGTAAAGAATTCATAATTTTAGGTGCATTGAGATGATTTTGTAAGGGAGTGTATCTACAAAAAAAAAAAAAAAATCAGAAATTGAACAATTATAATTGCATGTCGACCAATATTCAGATACACAAATTTAATATTACAATTAGGGCTGAACGATATTAGACAAATCTGACATTGCAATATTTTGTTTTACCGCAAAATTTATTGTGATATAAATATAAATTAACCAGATGATTTGAATAGCTCTGTTTTGAAAGATTTCAAGACAGGGATGATCTAGTCTTTTTCTGTGCAGTTCATCTGCATACATTATAATAAATCAAAAGCAAAAATAACTTTTCAAATAAACAGCGCTTTATAGATTTCAGGGCAGTCTAACGGTTTTCAAGTACAGAAATTGAACAGTCAAATGTAAAATAGCATGATCATAATTGCATAAATTATTTTTTTAAATAATAATGTTGTTATCTTTTACTCTAAAATAAATCATATAATCCAGATAAATATCCTAATAAATTCCAAGCAAATATAAATGTGTCAGATCAAAAATAAGTGTAATAAACAGATTTATGTTGTTCTGGGAAGTCTAATGGTATTCAAGTACAGAAATTTAACAATTATAATTGCATAAATAATAAAAAAATGTTTATCTTTTAATCTTTATTAAATCCTATATAATCCTGCAATGTGACTATTGCGGATACATACATTTGTGTTATTGATGCGCAAATGATATATTGTTCAGCCCTATTTCCAATGTAATACAACATTTGTATAGTCTTCATCGTGTATATACATAAATACAACCAATCTTTCTAAATGAGAAATGTAATTCCTTATGCCTGAATACTTTAACCTGACTTAAATGATGATAACACTTTAAATTATAAATGTTTTTTTAACTTAATTATGTGCACAATGCGATAACTATATATTATCCAGCCCTACTTGAAATGATAGCATATGTTGGGTTTTTAGTTTGTTAGTTAAATAGGGATTTTACAAATGAATTGATAGTTGATTTTAATAACGTGAGGGAGAGAAGTTCTCTGGCAATAGAATTGAAAATGTCGGCTCGATCATGGTTGACTTCTAATGGACTTTGTTAAATTGACATTTTGATGTGCTTATAATGACAGTATTTATGTTGTCCTTTTTTTAGTCAAAACTCGTCCTTGTGCGATAGTCCCTTCAAATGTAGTGATGAAGAAGCCAGTGCTGTGGTTGAAACTGTGAGTTTTTTTTTCTCCTTTAATACTGACTCTTTACCTTTTCCCATTTTTGGAAACAAAAGACAAATACTTTTTTGCTGTTGTAGACCGCAGAATATGGGGAACCCCTTCCTGTATCTCCTGAAGGTAAATATTGCACTTTGTTATCATTATTTTCACATTTACAAACTACTTAGCTTTATTGTTTCTGTTTTGCAGTGGACAAGTGGCACTTCCTCTAAAAATGACAAACTTTTCATATTTGTGAAGTGATTACGATCATAAGAAGATAGAAAAGAGCAAAAGCTGCCATTACATGGGTATTGTGTAATGTACTCGATGTATTTTTGTTTTATTAATGTTTTATTTTTAAAACATTGCTTAATTTATTAGTACAAGGAGCAAGCACTTGTAAATAATTGATCACTTATGAAGTGTATTTTCTTACCAATCATTTGTGTATTTTTGCAGATTGTTTCTGTACATGGTTATTGTTATTTACATATTTACAAAATACATTTCTTTCAGTGCCAAAATCATGTTACATTTCATACTTTGAAGTTTGAATTATTAACAATCTTTGCAACTTGAGTTTCTAAGTAAGACTGTAATAAATGTTTATTATTAAGGACACATTTAGTATTTGTTTTCAGAAGTGTTCACGGTAGCTGGTTGCAACAAACAAACTAATCAGACCAACTGTTGCAGGTTAGGGTTGTGTTTAGTTTTAAAGGCCGTGTTTGGTGATCATATTCTTTAAAAATAAACTTTTTTTTTGTTTTGCATTCCAGTGTTCCAGCAATTTATTTCTTTATTACGTACATTTAATTGTCTTCCAGTTGTTACCAGATAACCTATAACTTTTACTCACAAATGGTCCATAGCAAAGCCATTACCATGCCATGAACATTTTGGTGATTTGTTTTGTACATGGGGAGTTTTTAAATAAAAAAGTTAAACAATTAAATCGTTTTTAAAGAAATAAAAGATTACAAACTGGATTTTTTTTTTTTGTATTGAAAAAAAAACATTACTTGTTATGTTTGGTTCTGAATCATAAATGAAATGGTTTATTCAGTGTTTTCAATTTAAAGTGATGAAATGTATCAAAAGGTCAAGTAGTTTTCATCAGAGAATGTTTTTTTTTTGAAGCTTTACATTTCTATTTTGAAAAGGTTGTGAAATATTAAACATTTTGATGCTTCATTACATTTTACCTCGCACTCTTTATTAGTGTAAACTAAATTGTTTTAGTAAATTGTGAAGCCTGCCTTTTATGATTTTAGTTATTGTGGCATTACTGAGCAGTTTTTGAATGCTGAATATGACCAGCACAAATATAATTTCATCATTCTAAATACACACTGCTTGATTTGACCTTTTTTTAATAAGTTAGTAGGAAATAACTTGTATGAGCAATTACTTATGCACTTGTATAAAGTTTTACTTTATCAATCTTTGACTCGTTAAGTGAGCTGAATTAACACAAAGATTTGAAATGCAAAATAATACAATTATGAGAACATTGTGCAGAACAAGTTTTCACTTTCAAATCAAACCGTGAGTTTTAAATCTCTTCATCACTTCTGAACTCCAACAATACATGGTTTAATTTTTTAAGTATTAGGTCAGTTTGAAGACAATATGTGCATTTCTATTTGCATTTTTGAGTAAAGTGGACAAGCTCAAAATGTGTCATGCCTTGTTTACACCTGTATTTAATGTTATTCACTCATGATTTGATCGGAAGAAATAAACAGCTGTAAGCTACCCAAAGTGTATTAGGGCCAAAAAATATAAAAAATAAATTTAGTAGTTTGAGCAATTTAGTTCAATTTCAAGTAAAATACCAAAATAAATGTACACAATAAAGTCTGTGTTTTGAGAAAAATAATTTCAATAAAAATGTTTAAATAAAACTTTGAGAAAACTAATTACATTTCAAGAATATGCTTTTGTGTGTGTGTGCGCGTGTGTGTGTTTATTACATTTCAAGAAAGAAAACATGTTGAGAATAAATAGAGGGTTTTTAGAAAGGACTTATAAGAGCTCAATTGTGCTTATTATTACACGACTACTTGTCAAGATGACGTACCTGGATGAGCCTTTTATCAGTTTCAGCTGTTGTTAATAACATACTTTGGGCTATCATAATTGACCAATCAGAATCAAGTATTCCAGACAGCTGCGTAATAATGTTAAATGTCACTAACATGAACAATGTTCATTAACGACGTTAATGAAAATATTGTTGGTTCATGCTAACTCAGAAGGTATTAACTAATGTAAACAAGCAGTGTTGGATTTTAATAATGCATTAGTTAATGTTGAACCGTGATAATAAATGCAATAGTTCTTAGTAATTGCATTAAGTAACATTAACTATTGCCGTATTGTAAGTGGCATCAAGCAACATCAATCTTTGGAAGCTGTTTGGACTGAAATATGTGTTGGTATAGTGTGTCTAGTCACGCTGGAGTAATAAACGCAAGTCTTTTTAACCTATTGATCAATCAATCATCCCAGCGATTTTGACGCCGACCGCAAGGTGACGTAGCAGTGCAGTTTCCACCGTCCACCGATATTGATTGACAGGTGCGTATTATGTGTTAGTGTCTATTAACTCGTATACTCATGTCCACAAAACAGGATTGGCAAATTAACTGGGATTACAAGATCTGTTCCAACTCTGTGATCCAATTGCACTTCAAGATGCAGTAAGTGATACTCTTTGTATTTTTATAGCATGTTTGAGCTACAAACCGCTGGAATAATCAGTTGCATTGTGTACGTTATTCTACTATATAGGGGGACCTGGACGTCAAACCAAGGTTATTTTGTACAGTAACTTAGCTAAAAATAGATCTCTATACTGCAGCATACTTATCCGTTTGGTGGGCTCCTGTCAAAAAAAGCACGTGTTAAACGTGCTTTAAAGAGGTGCTTCCTCAAAGGATGTTAACACTTTATCATAAAGGTCCTTTAACTTCGTATTAATAATACTAAAAATAATAATTTAAATAATAACAATTATAGCAATAAAAATTTCAAAGTTAATATGAATTAATTCATTAATTTTCTTTTGGGCTTAGTCCCTTTATTAATCAGGGGTCGCCACAGTGGAATCAACCGCCAACTTATAGCATATGTTTTACCCAGCGGATACCCTTCCAGCTGCAACCCATCACTGGGAAACACCCATACACTCTCATTCCTACACATATACTACGGACAATTCAGCTTAATAAAAAGCCATGCAAACACAGGAAGAACATCTACTCCACAACTTAATGCCAGCTGACCCAGCCGAGGCTTGAATCAGTGACCTTTGTTGTGAGGCTCATTGCTACCTACTTAATAATAATAATTATTATTAATAATAATATTGCTAGTTCAACTTCGAGACAAACATACCTGAGCCTCTTTCTGAAATTCAGCTTCTTGTAGCTTTCCTTTTTTTTTTTTTGTCTTAGAATTTTGTAAGCTTTCAAAGTCTTCTGGGGTTTCATAAATAAATCTTGACATATAAAGCATGAACCTTTGGCTGAATTTAAAAAAAAATTTTTTATCATACATGGATCATATAATTATTTTAAGTTGTTGAATGAAGTAAAAATTTACTTTAAATATATTTACTTACAGCTATGCACATTCTCCCGTCAAGTAATTTTTTTCACAGTATGTGGTGTATGTCTATCCCTGTATTGCATGCACACATTAGGTAGGACTGTCAATCTGCAAATAACTCGTAATTTAATAATATTACACATATTTTCAGCGGAATTGATGAGTCTCCATCTTCTACTAATGACTAAAAACATTTTAGGAAAAATAATTAGAACACAATGAAGAAAATGACATTTATAATATTATGCTGTGGCATTTTTCTTTTTGTTTGAAATGTTGCTGTGTGTAAATAACAGTAAAGGGCTAAACTGCTTGTTGTTTAGATAGCTGCTATTTACACAACTGAACTCTGACCTCTAAAGGCCTTTGCTGGTATCTTGTCCGAAAGACTACAGGACAAGATGTATTTGTTTTAGGAAGATAAAAACTAGCTCAAATTTTGTAGACTGAATGTGAAGTTCTTTAATAATTTAAAGACAAGGGGCCCTATCATACACCCGGCGCAATGTGGCGCAAGGCGAGGCGCAATAGTCTTTTGCTACTTTTAGCTCGGCGCAAGGGTCATTTTGAGGCATCGCGCCACACTGTTTAAATAGCAAATGCATTTGCGCTCATATGTGCGCCCATAGGCGTTCTGGTCTAAAAAAGCAGGTGTGTTTTGGCGCGTTGCTTTTTTGAGAAACTGTAAAAAGTCTGTTCTTTAGACCAGAACAAAGTTGGTCTATTGTCTGGCGCAAAGTGTGCCTGGCTTACACACTTCACACAAGATGTAGAGCAATTCGCAAATATCTTTATATATGAAAAAGATATAATATATCAAGGATATATATATATATATATATATATATATATATATATATATATATATATATATAATGATATATATAGGATATAAATAAAAATGATTCAAATATTTCAAAACATATTAATTTCTAACCTACATGAATTTAAAAACCACTGCCTTACTTTCTTCATCTCGGGAGGCTTTTTCAGTTCATTCAATTTGCTTTTGTATAATGTTATTATTATTAGCAGTATTATTTATTGTATCCATATTTATATTTCTTTTATTAAAAACAAGCTTAGATTTGTCCACCTGTCAGATTTTAGACCATATGGGGCATAGCAAGTGTATTTAGAAATAACTCAGTATTTTGACCACACTTTGTTATTATTGTTTATTTATTAATTTGCCGGAAATTAGAACTGAATTTAGAAATAGTTTTGAAACAAATCTTTGCGCTTAACAAACAAAATTAATTATTTATAGGCTAATTGATGTCTGTGCGGTAAGGTTTCCCTATCCACGAGAGCAAAAGCGAAAGTGAACTTACTTTACATCATGTTAATAGCAAATGCGCTTATGGAGCGACTCAGCTGGCTCTTAAAGGTAATGGGAGATGAGACTCTGATTGGTTTATTCTCAAAACACACCTTTAACTCATTAAGAAAATAAACAAATATTAAGAAATAAAGAACTGAACTTAATTGAATACTTTCTCAAAGCACTGAAAGAAGAATGGTGTTCTACATTTATTATAATTTAAGTTTTATTGGTTATTGTGAAAATTATACATGCTGTGCGTATAACAGGTATTCATCCCTTGGTTTGATAAAAACAAAAAAACAAACAAAAAAAATGTTGTAAAAGAATGAAACACGAAAACTTCCAAGGGTTGAATACATTGTATTTGTACCATTTGCAAATTATAAATAAAACATGATTTATGTTTAAATGTGTTCACTAAAGAAGCCAAAGTAATTAGAAATTGTACAGATTGTACAAATGGTACTAAAAATGCTTGAAATAAATATACATTTTATTAAAAAAAAAAAAAAAAAACACATTTCAGCAATATTAGGAATGATAACAATCAAAAACAAATAGCTTTCAAATAAACTGCATTCAGTTCTTCAGTACATTACAATACTTACAGTAATCAAAGCCATTCTTAATTCAATGTTTTAAGCATTACAAACTTTAAGGGGATAAGTACAAAAGAGGCAGAAAATCGCACATTTAAACCTTTAGTGTCTAATGGAAAAATACCAACATGTGTACATAAACTGCCAGCTCGATGTAAAAGTTGATTCATTGAAATCAGGAAATCATTCAAGTAAAGTTGACTCCACTCAGAAACACTCCAAAACATTTTCAAGTATGGCTATTCTTGTCACTCACTAAATTTTATTGACCCTTTTCTCGTGCTTCATATACACAACCTGCTACTCAAGCTGGGTCCTGTACATTAAACTTTAACATCTGTTTTAATCTACTGTAAGCTGCTTCTATTCAGCTTCTTCTATTACATCGAGGTGATTTCTAGTAGAAAAAAAAATTGTAAACTTCCCGGTTGTAAGGGGAAAAAAACACCCGACAAGACAAAGAGCTTAGGGGCTAAATTATTAGATCTGTGGAGTGATGGTATTTTTAACAAACACTGAATTTAACCTTCGTATGTAACATAACTTAATAATAAAAAAAGAATGGACTTAAATGTCTGCAATGCAAGCATATGGTATATACAATGTGGCACAAACTATTTAAAACATTTACAGTATTCTAACTAATTTAAATGTACATATTTTTGTATGATTTTTTTCTAAAAAACAAATTGAAGTGCTATCTTTTTATATATGTCCAAGTGGAATGAGTTTTTTTTTTCATTTCATTACCAGTAACAACACTTTAGTACGGGAAATGATTTTCACTTTAACTAGATGCTTATTAGATGTATATTGGCTGTTTATTAGTTTGTATAAAGCACATAATAGTGCTTCAATTCGTATGAACAAATCTAAGATCCCTTATTCATAGCTCAGTCCCAAAACATCTACAATGCCTTACAAACTAATAATTAACATTAAATTAGAAGTCAGAATTAATAGTAAATATGTGTTCCCCTTATACTAAAGTGTTACCACAGTAACTCGTTAAATACTTAATTCAGTGGATAGGGGTAGTGTAAGAGGCATTAACATTTAGTGGTTGTATTTACATTTAGCCTCAAACTATACATATGCAACAAAATGTGCATGTGGTAATTTAACTGACTTGGTCTAACCTTTCAGTAAAGAGCAAATACATTGCTTTTATATATATATATATATATATATATATATATATATATATATATATATATATATATATATATATATATATATATATATATATATATATATCATGACACTTTCCCTTTAATTAAATCAGTGCATGTTAAAAGGTTAAAATTGCTATTTGAAATTTTATCAGCATTCTGCTTCAACAGTATACAATTTCAGATTCTTTCTTAACAAAGTTAGATGTGTGTTTGTTTGTGTGGGGGGAACTGTATATACAAGTAGTTTAGAAGGATTTTAAATGCAAAGGCTCAAACCTGAATTAGAAAAGACAACATGAACACAACTGATGACAAGCGATGCACAGAAATGAGCTGATACAGTATATCCCTGATTTTGCCATTCCATTGAAACTTGAAGTTCAGGTAATACTTTCTAGAAGATCAAGTATAAAGAAAGTAAGAAATGAACTTTAGGATCAATAATGGCCTTAAGGTCTGTGTTATATTTGCTACAAAGAGTTTGGAAATAAAAGAACAGAAACACATTGGTATTATAATTCTATTGCCAAACTACTTCTGAGGTATATGATAAGTAGGTTTTTCTACATCATTCATAAGCCTTCTCAACACCCTTAAAGATACTCACATTATATTTATAGTAGGTCAAGTAAGCACCATTTGAAATAAGATCAATTTAAACCCAAAGAAATAGTACTCTTAGTTACTAAACTGTTATCTAAGCATACATTCAAAAAAATTAATTTACTGTACAAATCTGAACTTTTTTTAATACAGCTAAAGTTGTATTTATGTCAAAAAATGTAGAGCAAGCCAAGCCAGCTGCCTCTGAAACAGTGAAAATGATGTAAAGGTAACCCTGTAATGTGTTCCTTGATGCACATAGTAAGTATAAAGGAGCTGTGAAATTGTGAAAGCACCTCATGAAGCACCTTTTAAACGATATTCAACTATCCATTGTGTGGAACTGTGTCTACAGTTCATCATTGTTGTTTTCACATTGTGAATCTAAAATAAATGCAGTGTAATGAATTGTCTTTCAGATTTGAGGGCAAAAATTGTCACCCTCACTATTATACAAAAGTGCTTTTAAAACACTAAGTAGGCTAGATATTGTCTAAATTGCTCAATCCCAAAAAATGCTTTTATGTATCACACAAGGTGTTTTGTTGCGAGTTGTTTAAGAAAGGCATTTAAAACACTCCCTAGCACCATAAAAAGTGAAAAGTTTAAAAAAGTCACCAAATATGAATATATCTTTCCAGTAATATGTCCAGATTTGTCGGACTGCAAGCACCATGGATAAAGAACAGTGTGTTATCATAAGAGAGTAATTAAATAATAAATAAATATTTCCAATTGTTCAAACAGTAAAGCTTGAATTAAGAGCTTTTAAGAGCTTAAAAACCCACGTATGTTCTATTTTTCCATATAGCAAGCAATATAACAGAGTCATACTGCTATCGATAATCTCATACAAACTGAACAAGCATTATGGGTTATATGGCCAGTGGCAATGAGGTCTGCTGTATTGTAGCACCATTTCACATTTCTGATCTCACTCTTGTTCTTGTCTATGTGAGCACTCTGGACTTACAGATGTTTCTACATGAAATTATTGTATGGCCCAGTCACCTTGGTAAAGGCATAGGGAGATGTGCTTACGTATGTATTGGTAGTGCAGGACATTGACCGTTCGGTAAGCATGAGAAGGAACTGCTTATATGGAGGCTCAGAAGGTTCAGAATGTTCTGAATGTTCTCGTTTCGCCTTCTTTCCTCCGCTCTTGCTGGAAGTGTTTTCAGCTCCATGCTTCTCAGCATCTTCTTCTTTTTCCCGAGCCTTCTCTGCCATCTTTGCTTCCCACAGAGACAGTCCGTGTTTTGCCTCATTTAAGTTCTTGTGCTGATAAAACACCAGAGAGATACGGGTGGGATGGTTGCGATCAGGCTTCTTGACTGGCGTGGTAGCATGAAGCTCCCGCTTAGCACACTCAATAATAATAGACCCATGACTAGGTGCCACTGCCACTCCTCCAATTTCAGGATCAAGGAAGTTGTGCTCACTATCAGACCACACATCTTCCTCCTTTTTTTCTGAAACCTGGGGTAGCTGTGTTGGGTTGACAGCCGGGTTATGGGCATTTTCATTGGGAAGCTTCAAGCTTGATGGTTGGTTAAAGTTGAAGCATTCCTTTCCCAATGGAGGAAACCCCTGAGAGATACCGTTTGCTTCATGCATGCTTATCCCTAAATCTTTATGACTTTGCATACTTAAGGTATTCAGATTTGGGGAAAACATATGAGGATTCTGGGAAATGTGAGGTTTGGGGTATGCATTGCCAGCAGCTGCATAGTCCAAATGTAGATGGGCTGAAGGGGGCCTGGCGAATGCATTCGTTGACATATTAGAATCAAAGCCTGGATAGTGTCCCATAGAGTGTATTCCAGGTCTCATGTTACAGTTGCCATAACCATTAGTTGCCATAGCCTCTCCATAATGTGGTGGATAGTTGACTCCATAGTGTTGAGGTGCATTGTACTGCTGCTCAGAATAAAGTGGATTTCTTTGGGGATGAAACATATCTGGATGCTTTAGATTGGAGGAGTGGTAAGGATGATAGTTGTCCATGGGAATCCCCCCATTACATTGGTAGCCATTGTAGAGAGGGCTGGGTGCAAGAGATCTTGAATAGGGTGAGGGAGCATTAGAAGCATTGATGTAAGAGTTTGGTGCATGTAAAGGAGAGGCATAGGGATCCACAGAAGGTGTTTGAGGATGTGGGGTTGATGGTTTAGAAGCATTTGGGAATCGAGTGAATGGTGGGGAAGCGTAAGAAGGATTGGGATGAGTTTGTTGCGGGAACTGCTGCTGAGGCTGATGGCCAGCATGAGCTTGTGGAAGATGCCCAGAGTCAAGATTTGTTCTCATGTTACCTCGTCCTAGAAAAAATAATAGGATACAATCAAAATGTAAACTTCAATAAATACATTGATAAACAGTTAAGGCCAGATGTACTAAACTAACAAAATTATTTTCAGCGTATTGAGAATAAAAAGCATTGTGGGTGACAATTTGAACACAGGTGGAGCAGCTCTGTGCAGATCTTAATCGGATGCTTTTCAAGGCCCAGGCATACGCTGTGAAATTTTGATCAGCAATTTGGCTTGTGTGTCTCTTCTTGAATTGGGCATAATTTCTGCTTTGTCTTGCGTCGTTTGTCATGTTCTGTTTGTGCAGTGTAGCCTACAGGGGGATGAAAAGGCTCTGTAACCTCTCTGTATATATTTCAGAATGCACAAAAACAATTAAAAGAGTATAAGAAAAAATCAGTTCATACAGTTGAAGTCAGAATTATTAGTTAGCTCCCAGAATTAATAGCCCCCCTGTTTATTGTTCCCCCAATTTCTTCAAATTTTTTTAGGGCGACGCAGTGGCGCAGTAGGTAGTGCTGTCGCCTCACAGCAAGAAGGTCGCTGGTTGGAGCCTCGGCTGGGTCAGTTGGCGTTTCTGTGGGGAGTTTGCATGTTCTCCCTGCATTTGCGTGGGTTTCCTCTTGGTGCTCCGGTTTCCCCCACAGTCCAAAAACATGCGTTACAGGTGAATTGGGTAAGCTAAATTGTCTGTAGTGTATGAGTGTGTGTGTGGATGTTTCCCAGAGATGGGTTGCAGCTGAAAAGGCATCCGCTGCGTAAAAAACGTGCTGGATAAGTTGGCATTTCATTCCGCTGTGGCAACCCCAGATTAATAAAGGGACTTAGCCGAAAAGAAAATGAATGAATGAATGAGATTTTTTAACACATTTCTAAACATAATAGTTTTAATAACTCATTTCTAATAACTGATTTATTTTATTTTTGCCATGATGACAGTAAATAATATTTTACTAGATATTTTTTGAGACACTTCTATTCAGCTTAAAGCGACATTTCAAGTCTTAATTAGATTAATTATGTTAACTAGGCAGGATAGGTTAATTAGGCAAGTTATTGTATAGCGATGGTTTGTTCTGTAGACTATCAGATAAAAATATAGCTTAAGGAGGCTAATAATTTTGACCTTAAAATGGTGTTTGAAAAATTAAAATAGCTTTTTATTCAAGCTGAAATAAAACAAATAAGACTTTCTGCAGAAGAAAAAAAATCAGACATAATGTGAATATATGTTTGCTCTGTTAAAGATAATTTGGGAAATATTTAAAAATGAAAAAAAAAATCAAATGGGGCTTTCTGACTTCAACTGTATATGTGCAAGATACTGATCTGATTAAAAAACCTAGTGTTTTTCATTTTCTTTTGTTCCACTCAAGCTTTACACTCCTTTCCATTAGGTGGCGTAAATGTACCATTTACTGGTTTGCCAACACCATTAAATGAAAAAGAAGAAGGGGGTGTGATTTGTTGATTTTACACATAGGTTTCATCTCAATCAGCACCCTATCTCCCTGAGGTCATTCTTCAGCAGGACTTGTGCACTGGTTCGCGCACTGATAAGAACAGTAATTGGCTTGGTTCACTACACATTGGAACAAACTAAGTGTGACATGAAAACGTCCTCATTGTACCTCAAAACTGGAATTTATAAATCAGAGCAAAACTTATATGTTTCATATTCTAATTTTACTATGTTTTTAAAAGTACGTTATAGCTAACTAATTTGATTGTTTCATATCTCAGCAACATTTAAACCATTATATAATATGAATTAATAAAAATTTAAAAAAAAAATAAATATAAAATATAAATTGTTCTTTATTGCGTTTGATTTAGGTCACATGATTCATATTTTGAAAATTCAAACTTTCGTTAAGGCGGGAGGTACACATCAATGCCCTGATTTTTATGGTGCATTGTGGCACCTTTGATGATATGAACATTTCAGTGCACTGGAAGAATTTTGTGATTTGAGACAGCACTAAAAATGGCTGATGCACTAATCAGTGCACTGACTCCTGAATAAGGGTGTTGACAAAGACACACTAAAGCTGCGGTTACACTTGGCTTTTCCTCCCTTAGACTTCCATTTATACGCACGCGAATGCGTCAGACCGGAAACGTGGGGTCATGCGTCAAGTTTCGCAGGTTGCGGTGCAAAGTTCAAGCTTAGTGAACGCTAACCTGCGAAATCGCATCACTTGACTGCGTGAGAACAATCGAGGATCAAAACATGATATCTCTGGACAGAAATTTAAAACATGGAGCAATCCCTCGCTTTTAAAAATGTCTAAAAACCTTGTTTGATCCTGCCCCTTTTCGCAGCGCTGCACGACAGAATATTGCATGCTCAAACTCTAATGTGACCGCAGCTTAATAGTGTGAGCAGTCAATTTGCTGCTGACCAATCAGACTATATAGCATGTGCACATGAATTGTGAGCTTTGACGTTACACCGCTTACCATCTTCTTATAAAGTGTAAGTTGGTACCTTGCTAAAATCACAGAAATTTTCACAGTGTATTCCTGGAATAACAAGTGCTGCCTGTAATGGCCCATTTCCACTGAGTGGTACAGTACGGTTCAGTACGGGTCATCTTTATCAGGCTCATGTTTCCACTGCTGTAAGGGTAACAATGGTACTCTTTTGGTGGGAATTGTGTATGACAGAAAGATTTAGTCAATGTATTTTTGCTTGAAGTAATGTCTACAGTAAAACTGTATGGGTCATTCACATATCATATGAGAACAAAACAGATGCTTTATACACATAAATATATCTGGATAAATGTTTATTACTAACCTTTCTATAAACATAATTTGATTATGCTGATTAACTGCAGATCAATGACTGCAAAAAAGCCTACTGTAATGTCTGCAATTATATAAGTAAATCCAACATATCTGAACACGTACAGGCCTTTACAGTCTCTTATATTTTTTTAACATATTCCGTCATTCCGAGTTCATAATAGTCCAAAAGGTAAGGTAAGATAATAGGTAAACATGGCAGTTTGTTGATGTTTTAGGCTTCTCCTTTGTTTTTCCGTGCTTCACTCTCGACAGAGAGTCACTTCTGACAGGATTGGATATCAAACGTGCTTCAATGATCACGCGCATGTTATTAAGATGAGCTTAAAAAGTTCATTATTTCAATTATATGTGCCCGGCAAGCTCTCTTTAGACGGGCTCGTAAAAAAAAAAAAAACAATGAAACACAGCAGATTTTGTTCTTCCTGGTTTTGTTGCCATGTTTATTATGATGACGACAAGGTTTGTTCGAGCTCGGGTCGACAATGGCTCGTTATTATATGTATATATTATTCAGGTGTTATCTCTCGGCTTTGTAATTAAAACATGGCGGTTCCTTTGTTTTCATTCTTGCTTGTTGCGCGAGCGAATGACGTAAATTTGTAAACCAATAGTGTTCAGTACAGCCAAAAAAGCGTACCGTACTTTACCTTACCGTACCGCTTAGTGGAAATGGGCCATAACACAGGAACAAAATGCGTTTAAGCACCAGTTTTTGGGAGTTAAAAATTTTTATAAATTTATGAGCATTAGAAAGGAGAGCTCCTACAAATACATGTGGTATAGGTCAGCCATAAAAATTGTAATAGCTGTGTTTTTAGTAAATGCTGACTAATTCATGCTAAACGAGGGACTGCAGTGGTGCAAACAGATATTAAAACATCTGGCCATGGAATTGTGGTTTGCCATATCATATATTTTATAAAGATTGAAAACATTACCTGTCACTGTTGGGTTCTCATAAGCAGTCTGTTTCTGCTTTGCTTGCTGGGTGTTGTCCGTTTTAGAGTTGGGTGTGTTGTTGTTTGGTTTGTTAGCTCTCTTGGCATCCAGTTTCCTTTGACGGCAAGACTTTGCAGGCTCTGGTAGCATACGCACCTGCCTTCGAAAGGAACTAAGCACCTGAATGGCACCAGTCTTGGTCTTTTCCAGCTGAGCCTCAGCACTGCCAAACTCATCAGTGGATGAGGGCTTGTATAAGGGAAGCACATGCAGCTGCTCATCCTCAGGAATTTTTCCAATCTCGCGATTATCCTCTCTTGTTAGCGTGCAGACCTGCAAAAAGAGCATGGAAAGGGAGGTTTGGCCTGTTTAATTTGTACTTTTGTGGCCACTACTTTGTTCTACTTTTAGAAAATATTAATGTACAGGTCTGTTACAGTTAATTCCATTTTTAGCAATATTATTATTTTATTAATATGAACATTTACTGTAATTCTTACCACAGTACTGCCCCCTTGCATGTTGTGGAGGTCTCTGTGAGCATGAGCACAGAAGTCTAGACAGGCGGTCACTCCTGAAAATGGCCGTCCTTCTTTTAGGCCCAGCCGGCAGTCGGGAGCTCTGTTTTCGTGCTCTACCTATTAAATATCAATAATAGATTGATAGCACCATAGAGTATTTAAAAAAGACATTTGTAGATGCTCCTTAGAAGATATATGTACTATAACTGTACTGCTGCTGCATATCATAAAACATCTCAGGAAACTCTGATTTAGAGAAAATCCCATTTATAGTTGCTAACTGAGTGAGATCTGAAGTAGAGAGCTATACCTGATTACTATAAGCATCAGGTGCCATTTTCTTATACACTGGGGCAATGTAGGTTGCAAGACCTTGGAGATTTTGTTCAATTTTCTCTTCCTGTAAGGCAATCAAAAATACTCTGGTTATTTCTAGCTTTGAATGTAATTTGTTGTATGTTTGTGTGAGCATCTCACCTCCTTGGGATCATCAGCAAGCAATTTGAACTTGCGAGGAACTTTACTCCTTGCAAATTTGCAGCCATTATAGTACATGCTCCAAGAGCAACCAAAAGAGAAAGAAGCTCCGCAAGCATCAGCTTCCAAACCCTGACACGCACATGTTCTCCTAAGGACAGTGATCGAAATGACAAAATGTTAAGGTTTAAGATGAATACCATTAATTAAGAATCTATGTAATATTTTAATTTGCATGTTTTCAATTTTTTTTTTAACAGCAATAAGCATTTGCTCTTACTCTTCATTAAGAGCACATCTGCGGTTGGTCAGGGCTCCATGTTTTGTTAAAGTATCACTTAGTTCCATGTAGAGACGATCAGCCAGGCTGGTTGGTATCCCTTCCCAAATTAGGATGACAACTACTACACAGGATGTCTCGCACGAGTGACCAGCCCTCTCTCGTACCAAGACCAGGATTTTCTCGTCTTCATTTGCTCTCCGTATTACCTACAAAATATGTATAAAATATATTGAGAACTGTTTTTTACAGAAAGCACTTTGAGACATTGCTTTCAATGGTGGGTTTTGTTGGCAATGAATATTTAGTAACTCAAGGGGGCAAAAAGAGGCAATATTATCAAAACAGGACACTGCAAGAAAATAAATTTACCCATTTAGCAATCGGGCAACCCAGCCCACTTTTGCCCTCCTTGCCTGTGTACAAAACTTTTTCAATTCTAATGGCACTTCCAGTCATTCCAGATCTGTCAAGAAAAATGCAATGTATTGTAAGTGAAAATAGAGTAATTATTTTGTGCTTCAGTGGAGTTCATAAAAATATACCTTTCTTCCATAATTTTGCGGATGCCTGCAACATTTGAAGCTGATCCTAAATGAGTATAATATGGGCCTTCGTCCCTTTCACTAATTTGCTCTGTGGATTAAAGAATATTAGAATTTTGAATTCTGGAAAAGGTTTTTACTTCTACATGTGTACAAAAATAGCTGTGTGAAGTCTCTTACCAACACAATGGCATGAAGGTATTTCATACTGTGTCTTCAGAGGTGTATCCATCAAATTTTTTATTGGTGTATTAAGCAACTTCATGGGTGACTCCAGAAAGCTTTGTAAGCCAGGTTCAATCTTTTTAGGTGGTGTAAAATGTTGTTGTTTGCACTGTTCCTTTGCATTCCCTTCAGCATTGGTTGAGATCACAGTCACAGCTCCAGCCATCTCCACTTTCACCTTATTGGGAGACTTGATTACCAAAGACTTTTTTTCAAACACAGGTGAGAGTTGGTATTGTTTAAGCTGCTGCTCCATGGTAGCTAGAATACTTCTCTGCTGGTTTTCATCACATGAAGAAGGAGGATGCTCTTGTTTTACCACGGCCTTTAAGACTTTGGTGTGGTCTTCATGTTGCCTTTGCACTTCCATAGGTTGAGCTGAGATTTCAAAACCTGAGCAGTTTTCACTTTTTATGGCTGGCATCATTTGTCTAATGTTGTTGGGGCTTTGCCGTTCCTGCCTCTGCAGAAGGTGCATTCGCAAAGCTGCATGCCTCTGAACATCCATTTGAGCACCATTGCTTGAGAGAGACTCTCTCTGGATTTGGGCAAAGGACTCATGGAATTCAGCTTTGGTCAATGTCCGAACAGGTATCTGAAGACCATCAGAAGCTTGTGAATGTTGTGATTGAGAAATCAGTGACTGTGAGAATTCTGAATGATTGTATATCCTATGTTGGAGAGGTTGCTGGTAGATTTGTTGTCCTGTACTAATGTTCTGTGAGCACTCTGTGTTCTGCTGGAGTTTCCTTTCTGTTAGAGCTTCTACTTCTTTAAACAAGGATGGTGTGTTTGACTTGGATGAGTCTTGAAATCCAAAGTTTTCTCTTATAGCCTTACTTGAAATTTGAACTTGTGCTGGTGTTTTGATACATGCAGGTAACATCTGGAATTCTGAATGAAGGTAGTCCTCTGTTTTAAGCTTTTTTAGGAGTGGCTCAACTTCTTGACTACGGGAAGCATCTCGTGATAGTGGAGATGCTTGCATATTCTGCCTATCCTGAGGGAGCTGATTGGAAAATGTGCTGGTGGCTTGCTGATGAGTTTCAGTAGGTGGTAGCTGGGAAAGGAAGCTTGGGGATAGTATCTGGTCTTGATCATTTTTGCATAATTTCTGGGACATATGTTGCGGGTTGTTAAATTGCATGTTAATATGATTGTGCATACCAGAATTTCTCTGTTGACTTTCAGGGGCAGCACTATGGGGAAACCGTGTAGGAGGTAGCATGTTTTTGTTCTCTTGTGCCTCAATTTCATGTGAGGGAAAACTGGAATTACTGAAATTGTGAGACTGAAAGTTGTTTGGGGGAATGGAATTTATACATTGACTTTGACTCTGTGGGACTGTATGTTGCTGTATGTTGGTCTGTGGAAGGAACAAATCCCACATCTGGGAGTGTTCAGTAGATGGTGTTGAAGCAGAAGTTGAGTTTAAATCTATCCATTCCATCTGGGATGATGGATCTGTACCCTTTGACAGTGTTTTTTCTAGTCCTAATTTAGACTTGTTGTCTTGATCATTGTTTCGATTTTGAGAAGGGGAAGTACATGCCTGGGGAATCAACTTGCTCTCTACTGCTTGTGGCTCATGAGTCTGTTGCTGAAGCAAGGAAAAGTCTCTATTGCCATGGAGGTTTTCATCAGTTGTTTTTTTCTGTGGCACTTTAATCTGTGGGTTATACTGACCTGTCTGAGAGGTTTGTGAGGGGGAACCTGCTGTCACCGGGGGCAATGTATAAGATCCATGACTTAAATTCTGATTGGATTTGGAGAACATGTTTACACACTCAGAGTCATTTGGAAGGGCTTCTCTATCTTCTTGAATTTGTGAGGAACCATTGACGACTGTCTGTGATGGCACATTAGACTCTGAATCTTTCTGACTTAGCTCTGGGAGATCAGACAGAGAATAAGCAGGCTTCTTTTGCTCAGCTGCAAAACTGGAGTATCCATTTACTGCAAGTTCAGGGTTATAGCCATTGCTGTTTTGTACTTCGGGAGGTGCCTTGACAAGTGTCTCTGAGGCAGATATTTGGGGTGAAATAGGAAAACCTGAGGTAAATGAAGGTGAAGAAGTTGCCTGATCAGGCAGGTTGCTGGTGACCTGATCTACTTGAGATGAGTTGGTTTGAGGTGCAATGGACACATGCTCTGGGTAATACTGAGACAATGTTTTCTCTAAGAGGTCACCAGTTGTACCCTTTACTGAAGGAGGACTTGTTGTAGCACCATTGGGCATTTGAACTTGCTTGTTCCGTGACAGTGAGAATAAATCACCATTTGTAAAGTTACAGTTTATTTTAGCATGTGTTAAATCCCCTGCCTTGTTATGTTTGGGAAATACCTCTAATCGGTTTTCCATTCCTGCCTCACTTTTATCCCAAATCCTTGGGTTCTCGTTTCCATTCACCAATGTTTTGGTCTGGTGAAAGTCCAAAAGTGCCTGTTCACTAAGAGCGTGTTTCATCTGTCCTTTCATTCCAAACATACTTTGATCAAATATCCCCTGCAAGTTAGCAGGGACCTTCTGCTGAGACAAGACTTCGGGTGACTGATCTCCATTTTGGTGCTTGGTGAGAAAGTCTGTCTGCTGAGTGGCACTGATTTTTGCAAGTATATGACTTTTTTCCGTCTCATTGCTGGTCTTTTCTGTTTCCATCTGGTCTGCTCTGGGTCCATTCACAAGGCTGCCCTACACAGAAGAATGGAAAAAATACCAATAATTGTAAAAATATATCATTTACTGTAGTTCTTATGTAATAGTGAGGCAAGGGCTAACGATCTGAACTGTTTATACAATTGCAAGCTTATGGAAAGTAGAAACCTTATCAAGACCTTAAATTTACTCAATCTAATGTATTCTAGATATGGCATTTACATTACTCTATTTGTGTGTACAGAGATCATGAATTATGTTGATATATGCTGAAAAGGGATAAGCAGGGAAAACAAACAGAAGGAACAGCTTTTGCTCCCTATGTCTGAAATAAGTCTTTTAAAATTGAAAAACACTTGTCATTTTTGGCATGCTTTGGGTTTTCCAGTAGCTCACAGGCATGGGTTGGGTAGTACATATACCCATTCTAATGGCTTTTACTCTAACATGCTATTGAATCTCGCAGACTCAGATAAAACCATTGCCCCAACATTAGCTAAATGTTTAATTACAAATAATGGTACTAGGCAACTTTTTAAGGTTTCTAAGGTTTTTAATGTTGTCTCCATGTCCATGTCCCCTTGTTGAGTATTTAGATTTGACAATATGCTTAAAAGTTCCATATATATATATATATATATATATATATATATATATATATATATATATATATATATATATATATATATATATATATATATATATATTTAGGCTCCTGATACGATATTCATCCTTAAAGGACTAGTTTCCCCAGTGCTGAATATTCTATTATCATTTACCCATCTTTCACTTGTTCCAAACTTGTTTGGCTTTCTTTCTTATGTTGAACACAAAAGATTGTTTAATACAAGCTGAAATCTGTAATCATTTCATCTGCTATATATGTCAATGGTTATAGGTTTACAGCTTTCTTCAAATTATTTCTCCCATGTTCAACAGACGAGTGATATTCACAAAAGTTTGAAACCACACACAGGTGAGTAAATAGTGAGTTTATTAATTTTTGGGGGTTGAACCATCCTATTAAGTGTCTTAGGGAAAAGAAAGCTTTTTTGTGCTCTGGTCATGATGAATTTATTATACTAACTTGCATTTACCCTTGCTTTAGTTTGTAGAAAGTCAGTCCTCTGCAGAACATTTACATTTTACACGCTTCAAAAACACATTTCTCATTTTTGTCACTAAATCTACAGATTCATATAAGAAATGACTGATACAGATGTCATGAATTCTTTATCAATTCTTTTCATATGTTTAAGTACAAAACATCTTTGAAATGGACTGCTCCCACTTTACCATTAGGTGATTATGATTTTGATTTAGTAGAGTAGTAAACATGTCCACTGTAGAGCAATAACAGCAAAACAGATTATTAATCTTTTATTATTATATTATATTATATTATATTATATTATATTATATTATATTATATTATATTATATTATATTATATTATATTATATTATATTATTAAAAACATTGCAAAGTACCTTGTTGTGAAATTCATATTGTACACAATCAAGTTGAATATTTTTTATTAACTATCCTTAAAATGTAATATGTAAATACTGTAACCAAGTACCTTTATGATTGTAATAACATTTTTTTAAATTTAATTCTATTCTTAAAGGAGATTGTGACTGGTTAGGAGCTTGCATGTGTGCTATGTTAAGCTTGAATATGGATCCATTCCAGATCCGTTTCAGAGCTTCCAAACAGCTGACAAAAGCCAAACAGCTTGACACAGTTGGATAAATCTACACTGAAAGCAACACACACAGACACACACACACACGCGCACAAATCCCTAAGAAGGAATGACATAGCACGAGATCTCAGCTGAAAGCTTTCTTTATATGTGTGATACACTTTCAAACAAAGAGACTGCATTTGCTATATATATATATATATGTATATATATATATATATATATATATATATATATGAAGTCAGAATTATTAGCCCTCCTTATTAGCTTTCTTTATATGTGTGATACACTTTCAAACAAAGAGACTGCATTTGCTATATATATATATATATATATATATATATATATATATATATATATATATATATATATATATATATATATATATATATATATGAAGTCAGAATTATTAGCCCTCCTGTTTTTTCCCCCCAATTTCTGTTTAACAGAGAGAAGATTTTTTTTCAAAACATTTCTAAACATAATAGTTTTACTAACTCATTGCTAATAACTGATTTTTTTTATTTTTTATCTTTGCCATAATGAAAATAAATATTATTAGACTAGATCCAAGGCACTTCTATACAGCTTAAAGTGACATTTAAAGGCTTAACTAGGTTAACCAGGCAGGTTACGGTAATTAGGCAAGTTATTGTTTAACAATGGTTTGTTCTGTGGACAGTCGGGAAAAAAATTACTTAAAGGGGCTAATAATTTTTCAAAAAAAAACAAAAAAAAAAACTTTTTATTCTAGCCAAAATAAAACAAATAAAACTTTCTCCATAAGAAAAAAATATTCAGACATACTGTGCTTGCACATCCTTGCTCTGTTAAACATCATTTGGGAAATATTTTTAAAAAGAAATCAAAGGGGGGCTAATAATTCGGATTTCAACTGTATATATCTGATTACAAATAATTAAAAAAGGAAGACATTTTTATTAAAACAGACTTTTTATTACAATATGTGATATCAGAAGTTCATTGGATAATCCAGGGCCTGTGAGTGCATCAATGAGTCTTACTGGTATTTAAAACACAGCCAACAATTTTAAACAAATTCTTATCTTCTTTATCTTGTCACTTGACAAGTAGGAGTGGCTTTGAATTCAGTATGTTGTCCACCCAGTTTTTCTTTTCTCCTTTGGAAATTCTATATATGTATTTTAAAATTATCTCTTGTTATTGTGATCTCCCAACACATATGCACTTGTACAACTGAACTGTGCTTTGGTTGGTGAAGCAATACAACCAAGAAAGCATATAGCGGCTACAGCAATGGCATTTGTTCTTAACTTATTTAACAGTTCCTTTAGCCTCAGGGTTGCATTATTTAGTCAGTTGGGAGTGAACTTTCTGGTTTTAAATGATTTAAGTTGACCCTACAATACAGACAAGTGAATGGTTAATAGTATTATTTTATCACGACGAGGCAGGAGTTTGTGTTTTGAGAAGTTTGTGATTAAAAGTCAGAGGTTTCCAAATACAATTGGGGTCTGATAGTAAACCTGATTTAATGATTATTTAACTTTTACGTCAGTTTCACAGTCAGCACTAATAAGAAATGTAACCCATAGACTACAAAACCAGACTTATGTTGCATTGGAATATCTTTGGCAATAGCCAAGAATATACTGTACGCGTCAAAATAACACACACAATACATTTAATTTCCAATATGGCTGTGCGATTTAGGGAAAATATCTAATTGCGATTTTATGACAAATATTGTGATTTTAATTTTGTAGTCGAGCTTCAGCTCAATAATCTGTAAGCCATGTTAACAATTCTGTGACAGCTCTTAAAATTGACCTGTTTTTGTTTGGTGTCTGTGATTTTTGAATCCAAAATACCAATACCAAAATGTTAGCGATGTTTTGTTTTTCTTTAATATTATTGGTCTATTAATACTTTTAAAGCAGCAGATCCCATTATCCTAATTGTCCGCACTTTCCTGTTTGTTTTAGTTCTGTTGCACAATTCTGATTGATCAATTGGATAGTAAGGCTGTCACACACAGACAGCAGTCACACATTTGCTCTGGGCGGGGAAAATTAAATAATACATATATATTTCATATCACAGCCTTTTGCGATAAGCAAATTGCAACGATCAGATTGCGATTCGATTAATTGCACAGCCCTTATTTACAACAATTATTAGAATATTAAGTTCCATGACGATTTCCATGAACCTTTGACTGATAAGATTATTACAGTAATTGCTAAGCAGTTCATTTGGACAATTTTAAAGGTGATTTTTGTATTTAGATTTTATTTGAACCCACACAACATAAAATAGTTAATGGTGAAAAAATTTAACAATGGTATTTTTTTCTGGTCCATTGTTCCAAATATTCAATATTTGTCATATTTCAGTGTGTTTACTCAATATGTGTTTGATTAGACTCGATATTTGTTTGATTGAATTGAAATGACAGTTCTGTTGAATATGGATCTGCACAGTCTGTTTTCTTCCATAGTATTAAAATAAACTGACCATATTGAAGTCATTCTTTGAACTTTGGAAGCATTGTTGGATTGATATAAATATGTTAAATATATAAATGGATAACTGCATGTAGCATGATGTGCATGTGAGCTTTAGTAAACATGGTGCTGCTGAGTGTTTGCCTTGAGTGAAACTTCATCCTTCGGTTCCTCCCACTGTAATTTGATCATAGAACTCATGTGCAAGTGTGCTTTAAATGTCACGCATGCAAGGTTGTAAAAGTGTCTTTCTTACTCTTCTGCTCCGATCATTAACCAGGCTTTACATACAGACAAGGAAACAAGTTTAGCAAGTATGACAGCCTTCACAGTTGACTTTTAATTATTACTTTGACATGAGCTTAACAACTATGACTTAAAAACATGTTTTTCAAATTGGTATATAGAGTAGCAAAAGAAACCGCAAGTCAGGAAACGTAATCAGGATCGGTGTTTCTGTCCCTTTAAAGTTTCATGCTGGGGGGGGGGACTGCACTCTCACACCATTCAAAACATCAGCATTATGATCAGGAAACAAAATGATTAAACCTAACAAACTATTTTAGCTTGGGCTCTAAACACCACAGCCTAAGCCTTAAAGTGCTGCCAATATCCGTGACATTTTCTTATTTTCTATAAGAAAGCAGAAGACATAAGCATAAGAATGGAAACAAAGGAAATAGCCCTTTGAAATGAACCGGTATTTGTAGAGAATCAGCATGTGTACGGGGGAAGGTATGAGCCATGTCTCAGAGAGAGAGTTTGAAGGTGGGAGGTTTGTTTTTGTTATGTATTGCTCATATGTATAATATTTAGAATATATATTCAGAAAAAAAAATT